TCCCTAAACTGAGCTCTCCTGTTTGGTAGGCAGTCCAAACCTCTTCCTTCCATTTTTATCCCACCTTCCCTGTATGTTATCTAAGACCCCAAAGCTCAGAGATACACAGGTCCAAAGCAAGGAATTTTTTTGTGATTTATTAAATAACTTATTTCTTCATTGGCATTATATGGTTTAGGATCCCCTCCCTGGAGATTACAGTTACATACCCTTGTTTTTATTTTATCATTTCTAGCTATCCAGGGTGAGTTGTGTTACTGGGCCTAATGAATTCTTTTCCGTATAGAGAGTTGAAGGCTAATAGCTCACCTCTGCATAAGCTTTTCATCTAGTTTCCCTTGTGACCAAATATGGGAGATGCCTCCTGGAGTCTTTTCTCATCGTGAAGCCAGCTGACTATAAAGAAAAAGAGATTCCTAACATTGATTTTATTTGATGCAAACAGATATCCCATGATTTGCTGGTCCCTCTGGCTTAGATGGTGCCTGACTCACCAGTAGCAAATAGGAAGTTAGAATGTACAACTCTAGGAGCCTGCTGTTTGGTGTTCATTTAGAGCCAGATGCCCTTGGCCATCTCTAGCAGCTATTTTCATATACTTATGCCTGTAAAGCTAACATTTATTCCTGTAGCTCACTGCTTTCTGTACCAATCTGATAAGTACAGAAATAAGTATAGCTTTAACAAAAAGCACCAAGTTATCTTTTCTTCCTGGAGTTAGAGTTCCATACCAGATGACTGCACCCTGTAATATTTAATACTAAAGTCAGAACTTTTAAATTTGTGCTGTAGCCAAGAGGCATAGAAATATGTAGCTTTGTAAAAAGAAGTTAGACACTGAGATGCAATTAAGAAAAAAATCCTTCAATGACATTTTTCGGGAACATTTAAAAGAAACATAGTTAAAATCATAATGTTTAGAATAAGTCTCAAAATGCAAATATATTCTGAAATTAAAAGACTGGACTACCAGAAATTGCATACTGGTACTATATTTTTTTTTTCTCTACTTGTTTTCAAAATCCATGATTTTGTGTGTATGTGTGTGTGATTTCATCTAAGTTAGTTTTTTATACTAATTTGTTTGAAAGCCTTGTTTAGGTTGTTAATTACCTCAAATACCCTGTTCGGCGCTAAAATTCTAAATTCTTTCCCTCTCTTAAATTTACTTTATACGTCTTTTTTCATTCCTCAAAGGTTTTCAAACTGACGTTATCCATCATAATAATAGGATATTAGTAGGCATATGTGGAAGTATTTCATGGTCAAGAAGCTGAGAAAATGTCGAGTTAGTGTAAAACAGATTTCATTAGTGCAGACGTCTTAGAGACTTTGCCGTGTTTGCTTGTATTTTGAATTTCCAAGAGGGTGGTGATGTATGCCTTGTTTCCCACTTGACCACAAGACTCTTTTCTGTAAACATCTATTAAGGATTCCCATGAACTAGTTTAGAACTGAATACTGCAGACAGGTGTCTTCTAATTCACAAGTGACCTGTAACACAAATGCTTGACTATAAGTTACTTGTTTGAAACTTAAAATTCTGTTGCTTACAAAAGAAAAAATTTAGAAATCATTGGTTCTCAGGAAGGCCCATAAACCATCATGTTGCTATGAATGATAGCATCACCAATAATATAGAATCAGCTTATCAATTTTTATGATATTTCTTCCATCTGAAACTCCATCCTAAATCTACCTCATTTCTTTGAGGACCTATCTCCCCTCATTGAAGCCCAAAGTACTGCAAGGAGAGATTCCTGACATTCCAGTGGCAGAAGATAGGACTGGTGTAAGGTAGCGAGAGGGGAGAATGTGATTCTTGGGTATCTTTGAGGTCTGATGACTGGCCCCAAAAACTGCAGCAAGACCTATGACTCCAGCTGGGGTAGCTCTTTACCTGTGATCCAGGACTGTCTTATCAATAACCAAACCAGTTATGTTTAAAGAGCAAAAACAAATTTTGTTCTGTGAAAGGTTTTAATATAGAAAGTTTTTAGCAGGTTCTTTCAGTACATGTAGCTAAACTTTTGTTATTTAAAAGCAAGATTTTTGGTACTTACAATTGCTTCCTAATTTATTTTTCATAGGCATAATTTTATAGAAACTATGAAATGTGTAAAATTAATTTCTGAGCTCCTAAGTTCCTGGTCTTATGATTTGCAGGCTGTTTTTCCATCTCTTATTAAAACCTGTTCTGAAGAATGAATCTAGTGAAGTTGCTCTTGATGCTGTGAATAATCAATAAGTTATCCCTAATGCTGTGACTTTACTTCTTCCAAAGTACTTGTATTTTGAAACCTCACCCACAGGAATGAAGTTCTGCGTGTGTGTGCATACACACGTGCATGCCTGCCTGCACACGTGTGTAATTTGAGACAGCAGTGAACTGAAGAGGCATCCTTTGGGGAGGAAGGCCTTCCAAGGCCAGCTTCTACTTCAGGATGGCCTTACCTTTGCTTGATGACCTTCATTCCACCGTATAAATTAGTAATTTAATATTTAACTAAATCTACACAATCAAATGTAAGCAGAAGAAAATTCTGGGTCAGTCTTCTCAGATAGTGCTCTCTCTCCCCTATATGCCATCTTTCTTCCTAATAAATTTGGAATCTTATCCTCATATGTCAGTCACCTGTCCATGCACATAAAATGGGATTCATTAGGCCAGCATGTGAATTTAGATCTATTTATTGGAAAAACAACAATTTCTAGGTTTTTTTATTATTTTCAAAAACAGTGGGAGAAAGATGAGAATGTGTTTCACTGATTGTTAGCAAATATTTTCAACTTTTACCAGACTTGGACTTACGTACATAAGACTCTTCACATCTAGTTTGGTGTGGTTTAGAGATACTGTCCTAAGCATCGTTGTTGGCGCTCAGAATGAAGTGTTTGACCTTGACTTGATTTTATCAGTAATAGTAACATCTGGTTGTGCTTGAAATTGCAGTAACTACAGAATAGCCATAGAACATGATTTGAATAGTCCTCTGAGCTCAGATTGGGCTTTTGTTTGTTGAATGTTCTTTTACCTCACAAAGGTATTTGACTGCTGTTCTGGACCATGGCCTTCTGTTCAGATGACTACAAATTGAGTAGCCTCTGTACTAAAAAAGTTCTAAAACCAGCTTCCAGAGTCTCTTACACAATGGAATCAGAACCAGAGGCTGCCCTGGAGCATGCATTGTGGGAACCTCATCTCC